GGGTATTTCAATGTTGGCCGGTGTGATTCCCAATCAGAGGCAGCTGTCGCTCGTTGTCTCTGATTTGGGACCATACTTAGGCAGCCTATTGGCACTAGTGGGTTGTGGGATCTTGTTCCGTGTAAGGTATGTTGTTTGTGTGCTACCTTGGACTTAACGTTTCGTTTGTTGTTTTGTCGTGTGTTTATTCGTTTAAATAAACATGTATGCATATCACGCTGCGCCTTGGTCTGACCCGTCGATCAACGAACGTGACAGAAGATCCCACCAAACGAGGACCAAGCAGCGTGCCCAGGAAGAGCGAATTGCCATGTCACAGGTGGGCAAATGGTGGTCATGGGAGGAGATATTTGCAGGGAAAGGGCCATGGGCAAAGGTAGATGCCCAGGCATGAGAGGAGCAACGGCAGCACAGAGAAAGCCGGTCGAGGAAGAAGCCCGAGAGACAGCCCCAAGATAATTTTTTGGGGGGCTAAGAGGGTGGTTGGCGGAGCCCAGGGTTAGAGCAGAGCCAACTCCCCATACTCACGCGAGAAGGCGTATGACTGGGAAAGCTCCATGTTATGCGGAGCTACGTACTGTGTCGCCAGTGCGCCGGCACAGTCCTGTACGTCCTGTGCTTGCACCACGCATGTGCCATGCGAAGATGGGCATCCAGCCAGAACGGGGTGTGCCGGCTCAACGCTCCTGGTCTCCAGTACGCCTCCTCGGTCCCGCATATCCTGCGCCAGTTCTACGAGCTGTATCGCCAGTGCGCGTGCACAGCCCAGTGCGTCCTGTGCCAGCGCCCCGCACGTGTAGTGCGAAAGTGGGCAGCCAGCCAGGATGTGTTGTGCCAGCTCTCTGCTCCAGACCTCCAGTCTGCCTTCGCAGCCCGGCCCGGCCTGTTCCTGTCCCTCGCACCAAGCCAGTGGTGCGCGTCGCCAGCCCGGTCCGGCCCGTGCCTGCTCCTCGCACCAGACCAGTGGTGCGTGTCGCCAGCCCGGCCCGGCCTGTTCCTGCTCCTCGCACCAAGCCAGTGGTACGCGTCGCCAGCCCGGCCCGGCCCGTTCCTGCTCCTTGCATCAAGCCAGTGGTGCGCGTCGCCAGTCCGGCCCGGCCTGTTCCTGCTCCTCGCACCAAGCCAGTGGTGCGCGTCGCCAGCCCGGTCCGGCCCGTGCCTGCTCCTCGCACCAGACCAGTGGTGCGTGTGTCCAGTCCGGCACGGCCCTTGCCTGTTCCTGCTCCTCGCACCAAGCCAGTCGTGCGCGTTGCCAGCCCGGACCGGCCCGTACCTGCTCCTCGCACCAAGCCAGTGGTGCGCGTCGCCAGTCCGACCCGGCCTGTTCCTGCTCCTCGCACCAAGCCAGTAGTGCGCGTCGTCAGCCCGGTCCGGCCCGTGCCTGCTCCTCGCACCAGACCAGTGGTAAAGTGTGTCCAGTCCGGCACGGCCCGTGCCTGTCAGCTGCTCCACTCCGGAGATAGAGCAGTCCGCTCCACCGGTGCCTGATCCAGCTCCGGTTAGCTGCTCCACCCCGGAGCCAGAGCAATCCGCTCCACCGGGGTCCAGTCCAGCTCCGGTCAGCGGATCCACTCCGGAGCCAGAGCAGTCTGCTCCACCGGTGCCGAGTTCAGCTCTGGTCAGCTGCTCCACTCCGGAGCCAGAGCAATCCGCTCCACCGGGGTCCAGTCCAGCTCCGGTCAGCGGCTCCACTCCGGAGCCAGAGCAGTCCGCTCCACCAGTGCCTGATCCAGCTCCGGTCAGCGGCTCTACTCTGGAGCCAGAGCAGTTCGCTCCACCGTCGTCGGGTTCAGCTCCAGTCAGCGGTTCCAGTCCAGACCCAGACGTCAGCCCCTCTCCAGGTTCGGGGTCTCCCACACCAGGGTCCTGACAGGGCTTGGTACTTCGTGGGAGGAAGGAGAGGGCAAGCAGTGCACCGAGGTCCAGACCAGACCAGGGGCGCAACAGGGAGGCAGAGAATAGGTGGTGGTCACGCCCGGAGCCGGATCCGCCTCTGAGGCGGAATGCCCACCCGGCCCCTACCCTGTTATGTTTATGTTGCGCGGTCAGAGTCCGCACCTTTGGGGGGGGGGGGGTACTGTCACGCCCTGACTCAGGGGACGCGTATATGTTGAGTCAGGGTGTGTGTATTTCTTGTTGTGTTAGTTCTATGTTGTAGAATCTAGTATGTCTATTTCTATGTTGGCCGGTGTGGTTCCCAATCAGAAGCAGCTGTCGCTCGTTGTCTCTGATTGGGGACCATACTTAGGCAGCCTATTGGCACGAGAGGGTTGTGGGATCTTGTTCCGGTTAAGGTATGTTGTGTTGTGCTGCCTTGGACTTCACGGTTCGTTGGTTTGTTGTTTTGTCGGTTGCTTATTCATTTAAATAAACATGTACATATATCACGCTGCGCCTTGGTCCGTCCCGTCTGTAAACGAACGTGACACCGAGAGAGAGAGAGAGAGAGAGAGAGAGAGAGAGAGAGAGAGAGAGAGAGAGAGAGAGAGAGAGAGGTAATACTAGGTGTCCTACTGGGGCCTGATAAATGCACAGCCTTGCACTAATACTGAGAAAAGGAGGGATGAGACAATGGTTAGGTTTAACAGAACCATAGTAACTAACAATATCACTGGGAAGCATCAGTTGGCTTGACCCTTACACTGCTTTGAACAGGCTTTGCAGACTTTTCAGTGCCGACTGCAGAATAAAATCAACACAGAACACCAATCTGTATTATAACGTGTTATAAGATTATAAAATGTATTATAAAGACTTGGATCAAATTACAAATACTTAACTTGTGAAATACTTGACATTCGTTTGATTGATTTTGAGTGGTACAAAGTAACCAATAGAATAGTTTCCATCAGAAATGCAAACTCCAAGCTAAATAAAGCACAGATACACACTTGCACAGGTCTGTAAAGTGTCTGAACATTGTAAAGTGTCAGAACTCGTTCCCAAATGTTCAGACAACATATTCTATGGTAATGATTATGACGTTCATAATTGGCTGTTAGGGGGGCCAGGGTGCAAGCGTTTCAAGCCTATTGAAACTTTTATCAATGCTGAACAATAAAGATAAAGAAATGATTGTGTCTTTTATGTAGAGGTTATTCAAAGATATCACATTTGGCCATCAGTGCCACTCATGAAAATAGTTGCAACTTTATCACGTATTTATTGGAATCTCATGGTCCACAGCCCCCTGGTGGTAGCCAGGTAGTGCATAATCTGTCAAATCAATGGATTACAGATCAAGGCCTTTTGACTGGTGAAGGCGTGAATCCAATCCAAGGTCGTTTCACTATGTGTGCTGCAAACCAACAGTCACCTCAACCCTTAACTATTTCTGACCCCACAACACATGCCACGGTGCAGGGTGATTGGTAGATCGCCCTGATATAGAACCAGTAGAAATAGGCAGGATCAGTGATTGGTTCTATGGTGCAACCAAATGCATGACCTCCTTACTATATATCAAAATAACTTTTTGCATGCTTTCCATTGAAGAGGATTCAGCTACTTTTCACTATTTCTGCACACTGCAACTAGGATCTTAATTCCTGATCGTTTAGGTTTTCACTTGTACTCCTTCTTTACTAGGAGATCAAGGTGCATTGTCTCGTTAATACCAGAGATTGCATTGCAAAGAATAGATGTGTTTGCACAAGACTTCTCCTCACATGGGATCTAATACGACCTATAAAGTAATCGTTGCATGGCGCCATCTATAATATAAGTATTAGGCCATATTGTGTGCATCTAGGTACAATATTTGTTTGTTAAATGTCATTGGCATTCCTTGCAGCGAATTGGCATTTCAAGCAACATCTTGCGTTACTTCATCGAGTGGTAATTGCGCCAACGTATCAAGGCACCAATGACCTCTTGAACTCTTACTGCGAGTACATCTGAATCTATATACTGCTGTAATATTACAGGTATTACTGCAACAGCACCCCCCCCCCCCCCAAACTTCTCGTTCCCATCCATCCTGATCTTTAACCCCGCCCCGATCTTGTGGGATCTGTGAAATCTCTCCCTCAGAGCCACAAGTCAGTTTACTTCCCATGGCTGAGAAAAGATTATCAACTCTAACGGTAGAATTCTCCTTTTATCTACCACAACTGCAAAGGCTTGCCATTTATACCCAAATTAATTATGTAACTGCACTGGAATCTTCACACCCAAATCTCTATTTTAACCCACAATCGATCCCTCGATTTCTTGATCCATTTTCATCTTGTCTTTTCTGTGTCACTTGTGACGCACGTTCTGGTTGGACTGCTCCAATTCCTTAACGAGATTTCAGATTCCCCGGATATCCAATTGGATCCTGATTAACTGGGCTCAACTCATTAGCTCTGACAAATGAATTCAACCCCCCTCAACCTCAACCTCTGCCAATCTCTCAGAAACCAGACAAATTTGACTGCCCCACCAATACAGTCAGACAATAATACTATGATGTCTGGCAATCTCTGACTGCTGCATCAGATGACCAGAAATGAAGGCTGCCATTGATAGACTGGAGAAGAATCCAAACACCACTCGTTAGTGATGTGTACAGTAGGCCTACCATCCAATTTGGCTCGAAGATTTTTGTTTCAATATATGGTGATATAAATCATGAGCCAGTCCAGGTCAGAAAAAAAAAAAAACATCTCCTTGCAGACCTTAATATTATACTGTTGAATGATGTGGAATTGAATGTGGAAGACATCAAATGTGTTCCTCTACCAGCTTTATGTAGTAGCCATTGATATTATGTAATAAGTTATGCGTTCTCACTATCAATGCCACTCTTTACCACCTTGCATCTCAAACTCCTCAGTATCGCTCTACTTTCTAATATTCTCACATTTACACCTCCACCTGTCCCTCTCTCCCTTCGTTCCTCCTCTCTATACCTGCTCTTGACTTTTGACCTCATAACCTGATTTCCTCCTCCAATCGGTTTACCTACCTCCTCTTGTCATGCTCCCTGCTCTCTGCTCTCTCTCTTTCCCTCTCTCTATTTCCATCTTCGAGCTTATCCCTTCATCCCTGATCTCCTTCATCCCCTCCAATCCTCATCTGTTCCTCACAGGAGGAAGGGAGAGAGAGTTTTCACAGGTTGCCTGCAACCAGTCTGTGGGTGAAAGCGTAAGAGGAAAGAGAGAGAGAGAAGGATAGCAGGGCTGATTTGAGTATTGTGGAAAATAAAAAGCTGCTCCAAAGGGCTACTGAGGCGGAAAAGCCCAAAAAAGAAGAAGGACCACATTTTGTGTGGAAAGGTGAGTGATTTTTGGCCACTTTCGTTGCAAATTCTTCTGGGCATTTACATGGAACTATGTGGAACTACATTGACTCCTCTGATGATTACGAACATGGATCCACATAATCATGGAAACTATCCCATTACCTATCTCAGTATTCTCATCCATGATAAGATTTCACAGTTGAAAGAATGGAACTTCATCTGATTTGCAGTACGGGCCAATGGATTGAATATGAGCGAAATAAACTACTCAAGGGTCGGTCAATGACAACCGTAGTAATTGGAGTGCTCAGTGGTGCTCATTTCCATCGGAAAATGAATTCTAATGGCATGCATGAAACAAGTGTGCTGTAGTCCATGGAAAACTTGTTGACTGATGTCTGTGCAAGTGAGAGAGAGAGAGAGGCAGAGAGAAGTAGGTAGTGACATCAAGTGCTTTTCTTCTCAGAATCAGTTTCCTTTATTAGGTAACAACAGCATGCAGAAGCATTATCAACTTTATCATGAAGGTTGCAAAACCTCCCCCATTGATTCCAGTAAAAGAAGAACAGCAGAAAAAAATCACGACTGAAAGCAGCAAACTGTAGAACTTTATTTCTCAGTTGTTTCTCGCTTGACAACAGGACTTTTGCAGGTGGAAATGTCTTACAGATATTGATTCTATGCATTGAAGTCTTCTTTAATTCTGCAGCCATGCTAAGAGAATGGTGCACTTCTAGGGTACTTCTATCTAGAAAAAGAGGAATAGAGGCCATTCTGTGCATTTGTGCAAATATATATTCAAAGGAAATGACCAAACAGGAAACTGAAGAAGAAGACTTTTGAAAACTCAAATGTCTACCTGATAGATCCTATCTTTGCATATTCTTGCACCCTCTATCCACTCTGTCTCTCTTCCCCCCTCCCTCACTCCCCCTTTCTGATCCAGGGGTAAAGAGCAGTCAGTAATCGGATGACAGAAGATTTGACTGGAAAAGCCTCCCTTAAGTTCTGGGGCTTTAAAGCTCTCTTCCCACTAGGCACAGACATCATTTCAACATCTAGTTTTGATTTACATTTGATTGAGTTGTCAACTAACGTGAATTCAACATGAAATCAAAATAATTTGAACTGTATCATTGGATTTAGGTTAAAAGACACACAAAAAAGACACAAATTCCAGAAATTCCTTTACGTTGATTACTTTTTGCCAATCTAGTCAGTTTTCCACATTGATTCAACTTCATCGCATTTATTTATTTTTTTGGGGGGGGGAATGTGGAAACAACGTTGATTTAACCAGTTTGAGCCCAGTGGGTTGTGCCCACCCCTCCTCGCCCGCTGTTTCCCTGGCTCTCGTCATACTTCAAACTACCTACTGAACACCTATGCTTTGTTCAACACGTGAACAATTGTTTCCGTGAAAGTAATACCTTTAGTAGTTGGACACATTTTTTCTAGATTCGTTGTTAACCTTTTAAACGAATTAGAAAGTGGTGTGTGTTGGTAATTGGCCTCCAAATACGAAAACGTCAGCATCCAATTAAGAGTATTAGGGCCATAGACTGCTAAGCACTAATTATGTCTTGATCAATAATTATTCTCTCTTAAAAGGCATTGAAAGTCAGGGTGAGGGGTGAGAGAAGAAGGTTCATGGTCAATTGTGTCTTAAACTTGTTTTAATTGTAACAAAAAATAAAAATAATTGAAGTCATGAATAGGAAAATAAAAGTAATAAAGTAAAGTTGTAAAGTTGTGGTAAAAGAGTCATTCTAAGTAAAAAATAGCAAGTACTCTCGAAAGACAGACAACACTTCCGTAGTGACCTATAAAAACCAAAATGGCTTTATGTGTTACAGATAAGATGGCCAGTAATTGGCCCTAATCTTCAGATAGGTGAAGGTAGAGCTTGGATATGTCACTAATTCTGCATATTAGACTTCTAGCACAGCGGATGTGGGATTATACCTCGTACCATACTCAAGAAGGCCAAGCTCTCACACCAGACTAGATGACCAAGCACCTGAGTGATTTAGTTTAGGATGTCAGGGGCCATGGGGGGTTACGGGAGCAATGAGTCCAGTTACAGTACGTTCTCCTCAAACAGGTGGCCACTGTATATATCTACTGGACATATCTACTGTACATATCTACTGTACATATCTACTGTATATATCTACTGTACATATTTGAGAACATGAATTCTTAGTTCTATTGAAGGTCTTCCTTATATTATTGAGTTCTACATTATATGAATTTTACGATGAGGACAGCATTTTTGCCAAGCCCTGGTTTGTATAAATATGTATGCAATCAAATAACCCTTTCTCCCTATCTTCTAGTCTACTAGTTTCTTTCTCCAGCGGTAACAGCCCCTATCAACCGTTGCCATGGGTGAAATGGACACGTTGAAAAAGGAGGCCGATGGCTTGAAGACACAGATTGAAGTGAGTCTTCCTAGCACTGCATGCGTTGATTTTGGGGTCGCCATGACAATAGTTACCACAAGACATACTCATCAAGCACATTTCTGTAACAATATTCAATATCACCCCCAGTCAAAAAAGGCCTCATCATCAGATAAATAACTAGGAATCACAGTACCAATAATGCACAATAATTTATGTATGTGTTGTACCTACAGAATTCAGAACGTATAGCTTACATTTAGTTTCCTCCACATACCGAAACTGGTATTGAGCTAAAGTTATACTAAGACATTTTAAGCAGTGTTTGGTTCCTGAAAAATGTAAATACAACAGAAGTATGGAGAACATTCTGCTCCAAACAATTTATGCTTCTTTTTCTACAACTATTTTACTCTTCACTAATCTTATTCCTCTCCCATCTGTATCTCCCCCTCCCATCACTAGGCAGCCCGCAAGGCGGTCAATGACACCACCATGGCCGCCGTAGCATCTGGTGTGGCGGCTGCACCCCGTGTCCAGCTGAAGAACAGAAAGACGCTGAAGGGCCACTTGGCCAAAATCTACGGCTTGCACTGGTCCGCTGATAACAGGTGAGAAGGAGTTCTTGTCCAGATAGCTGAGAATCAGGATAGCGTCAGGGACAGTCTAGCTCACCATAGACACCCCACCACTACCACTAGCCAGTGTGATATAGGGACTAATGAACAACATAGAGAAGGTCTACTTTGCGCAAGATAGAGAAGGTCGATAAGAGGGGTCGTTTGATGCACCACTCAAACCAAATGGACTCTGACATCGAAAAGTCCCATTGTTTAATGTGTCCACGATAACATGCAAGTGTTATGGGGTTCAATGAAAAGGCTTTTGAAAGGCCTTCATTTTTTCAAATTTTGCATTGTCAAAGTATTAAACCAGATTCATACTAGATCTCATGCCTAAACCCTGTTCACACAGAATTTGATACACTGACTGACCACTTGTTTAACTCTCTTTCTCTCTCCAACAGGCACATGGTCAGTGCCTCACAAGATGGCAAGCTTCTTATTTGGGACACCTACACTGGCAACAAGGTAAGGGGTGATCACTGATCAGTCATCATTTTCACAGTTCTAACTGTTTTCTTAATAATGCATAATATTTCTATAGAGAGCTTTCCATTTGGTTTACAGTGTATGGAGTAAATCCCTCCTTAAACCACCGATGTGTGGAAGCAGTATTGACTTTTGTTTCAGATTGTCTTGACTTTGACTACACACTCTACGAATGTATTTATATGATAAAAGTCAGCTAGCTAGGTATCTTAAGTCTTCTACCCTTGAGACAAAGTGAACTAGAAAGTGAGTGGTTAAGCGTTCTTCTCCCTGCCCTCCAGGTATATGCCGTCCCCCTCAAGTCCTCCTGGGTGATGAGTTGCTCCATGGCCCCTTCTGGCAATCTGGTGGCCAGCGGAGGTCTGGATAACATGTGCACCATCGTCAACATCAAGGCTGCTAGCCCAAAGACCCTCCGGGAGCTGGACGCACATGAAGGTAGCTACCCTAGTACATTGTTTGCTTCACCCGTGTTATGGTCAACTCCGATACCAACTGGGTTACGGTCAACTCCGTGACCAACTGGGTTATGGTCAACTCATGACCAACTGGGTTACAGTCAACTCAGTGACCAACTGGGTTATGGTCAACTCCGTGACCAACTGGGTTATGGTCAACTCCGTGACCAACTGGGTTATGGTCAACTCATGACCAACTGGGTTATGGTCAACTCTGTGACCAACTACAATTCAGAGAATTCATTAAAATCGTGTTCATAATTTGGATGTCCTAAAAATATGTAGGAAATAAGTAGAATAAATAATATCTCTGTCTGTCTCCTTCCATCTCAGGCTACCTTTCCCATAGCCGCTTCCTGAGCGACACTGAGATCCTCACTGCATCCGGTGACACCACTTGTTGCCTGTGGGATCTGGAGACTGGCAAGCAGAAGGTGATCTACAAGAGCCACGTGGGTGACTGTATGTGTCTGGCCGTGTCTCCAGACCAGAACAGTTTCATCTCAGGGGCCTGTGACTCCAGCGCCAAGCTGTGGGATGTAAGAGATGGTGGCTGCAAGCAGACCTTCATCGGCCACACGAGTGACATTAACGCCATTGCGGTGAGCACATAAGACAGGGCCCAGAGTTTTTCCTGGTCAGAAAGACTCTGAATTGTCTATATATTGTAGTGACCTTAACCCAACAACTACCGACCTCTTCAAGGTGTTGGGTTGCAGTCACAAGATTCTGGGTCAAGCTCCGGTTGAGACTACCCCCCGACTACAATATAAGCAAAACAGGAGCAGTGTGATCCAAAATCGAAACATAGTTTAGCATCACAACACCAAATCTTTCCAAGGAGTCTGTACTCTGCAACTCAGTCCAATCACCAGGCAACTAATCTTCAAGCTCAATAAATGTCAAAACAAAACAATACATACTCTCCTCTTCTTTTTGTCATACCCCAGTTCTTCCCTAGTGGCACTGCAGTTATCACAGGATCCGATGACTGCACCCTCAAGATGTATGACCTCCGTGCCGACCAGGAGGTCAATGGCTACCAGGACGCTGCATTGAATGCTGGCGTCACGTCAGTCTCCCTCTCCAGCTCTGGACGCCTCATCTTCGCCGGCTATGACAACTTCAACTGCAACATCTGGGATTCCCTGAAGGCAGAGAAAGTCGGTGAGTAAAAGTGTGAGAGAAAAGAGTGAGAGAGAGAGGAGGGGACTGAGGGGATGGGGGGAAAAGAGAGTAGAGGCAGAGAGAAACAAAGACAGAACAGTATATGTAAAGAAAGGGAGGCAGACCAGGTGATAGATGGCAGAAGTAGGTGGTTGAAACAGAGGCAATAAAAGGGAGAAAGCGTAACGTTTTTAAAAAGTCTGGATGAGAGGTTTGTGGAGGCAGTCAATTAAAGAAACACGGGTGAAAAGGGAAAATAAACTAGAACTGCATCATTTGCATCAGTGTGTATGACTTCTTCTCTCATCCCTTTCTCTCTATCTCTCTCTCGCTCTCTCTCTCTCTCTCTCAGGTGTTCTGTCTGGCCATGACAACAGAGTGAGCTGCATTGGGGTGCCAGATGATGGATTGGGTATCTGCACAGGATCCTGGGATAGCTTCCTGAAGATCTGGAACTGAGCTGGTGCTCCAGAGGCGACATTCGGAGAGGGGGAGTCAGGGAGGGGGGGGATGGATGGAGCTAGAGGAGGAGAGGAGAAGGGAGGGGGGGGGGAGGGGGGGGGGGGGGGAACAACCTGATAAATAAGGATGCTCATTTTGGGATTGGGGAGATACCAGGAGGATGTTTGTCGTACCATTTCACATCATTTGTTATCGCTAGATCTTCCCTTCTCTCGCTCCCTCTTTCTCATCTATGTATGGAAATGTGAGAGGTGGGGAATGGGTCTTCATAGAACATACTGCATAAATGGCATCGACAACAGCACAAGATACATCCCCACTACATGTACACAAGAGTTTTTAAGTTATTGTTGAGACTATCAATATCTAGACAATGACAAACACCAAAATATAGGATATTTTAAGTCATTATTTTAAATAACAAATTAATTTAAAAATATGCTCTACTTGTATCTAAGGTGAGAGTGACAATTACACATATAGATTTTTGACAATAAAAACTTGGGAAATAAATACAGAAATACAATGAACATCAATAAAGATTTAGTATTACAGATACATTTTTATTGTTTTGAGATCTTTGATGTATAAAGCCCGCATTTTATTAGCTGAAAGTTGATATGTACATTTATTTACATTTAGGTAATTTATTAGAGTGCAGAGTTGATGTACAGTGCTGTTTGGTCACACATATCCAATGTATGTGTGCCACAGGAATATGACTGTTGCCGTTTTGGACATATGATGATACATGCAAACCAGCAGCACCCTCTGACTTTGCCCCAAAAATGGCTGCAATCACCTATCACCAGGCAAATCCATTATGTAAAAACAAAATGCAACGCCTGTATCATACTTCAGGGAAAAGCGTTGTTGAGGTGTTACATATCAGATGCCAAAACATTCCCTCCCAATAAGCACATTTACACATCTGCAGTATCTCTGTAAAATTGCATTGTTTGTTGAAAAACCTTTCTAATAAACATAGAATTCTGCATTAACACCATGTCTGTGTATTTGTGCTTTGACAGTCAACCATTTAGAAAAAGTTTGGCCAAATGTATACAGTTGTATTTCAAATGCAAACCTCTTTCTGGAGGACTTATTTTAACAAACATGCCCAGGACATTAATCGAATCCCCTCACTGTCCTCCAAGAGTTGTTGAATTTTTTCTTCACTAAAGTCTTGTTCTTGCAAGGTATATGTAGAGCAGGGTTTCCATTATGAAAATGTGGCACTGGACATTTGACCAGCAGCATTTTACTTTACCGGATCCATATGCATTGGGTGCGTAACATGGTTAGGGCGTCCACCCACGGTGCTCAGAATGACAGAAATCACATTTCGATTATGGTAATTAATCTTAACAGAACAGCCATGCCAATGTGAGTAAGACTTTTAAGCAGGTCAACATTCACAAGGCCGCAGGGCCAGACGGATTACCAGGACGTGTACTCCAAGCATGTGCTGACCAACTGGCAAGTGTCTTCACTGACATTTTCAACATGTCCCTGACTGAGTCTGTAATACCAACATGTTTCAAGCAGACCACCATAGTCCCCGTGCCCAAGGACACTAAGATAACCTGCCTAAATGACTACCGACCCGTAGCACTGACGTCTGTAGCCATGAAGTGCTTTGAAAGACTGGTCATGGCTCACATCAACACCATTATCCCAGAAACCCTAGACCCACTCCAATTTGCATACCGCCCCAACAGATCCACAGATGATGCAATCTCTATTGCACTCCACACTGCCCTTTCCCACCTGGACAAGAGGAACAGCTACGTGAGAATGCTATTCATTGACTACAGCTCAGCATTCAACACCATAGTGCCCTCAAAGCTCATCACTAAGCTAAGGATCCTGGGACTAAACACCTCCCTCTGCAACTGGATCCTGGACTTCCTGACGGGTAACAACACATCTGCCACACTGATCCTCAACACGGGGGCCCCTCAGGGGTGCGTGCTCAGTCCCCTCCTGTACTCCCTGTTCACCCATGACTGCATGGCCAGGCACGACTCCAACACCATCATTAAGTTTGCAGACGACACAACAGTGGTAGGCCTGATCACCGACAACGATGAGACAGCCTATAGGGAGGAGGTCAGAGACCTGGCCGTGTGGTGCCAGGATAACAACCTCTCCCTCAACGTGACCAAGACAAAGGAGATGATTGTGGACTACAGGAAAAAAAAAGAGGACTGAGCATGCCCCCATTCTCATCGACGGGGCTGTATTGGAACAGGTTGAGAGCTTCAAGTTCCTTGGTGTCCACATCACCAACGAACTATCATGGTCCAAACACACCAAGACAGTCGTGAAGAGGGCACGACAAGGCCTATTCCCCCTCAGGAAACTGAAAAGATTCGGCATGGGTCCTCAGATCCTCAAAAAATTATACAGCTGCACCATCGAGAGCATCCTGACTGGTTGCATCACCGCCTGGTATGGCAACTGCTTGGCCTCCGACCACAAGGCACTACAGAGGGTAGTGCGTACGGCCCAGTACATCACTGGGGCCAAGCTTCCTGCCATCCAGGATCTCTATACCAGGCGGTGTCAGAGGAAGGCCCTCAAAATTGTCAAAGACTCCAGCCACCCTAGTCATAGACTGTTCTCTCTGCTACCGCATGGCAAGCGGTACCGGAGTGCCAAGTCTAGGTCCAAAAGACTTCTCAACAGCTTCTACCCCCAAGCCATAAGACTCTTGAACAGCTAATCATGGCTACATTTACATTTAAATTTTAGTCATTTAGCAGACGCTCTTATCCAGAGCGACTTACAGGAGCAATTAGGGTTAAGTGCCTTGCTCAAGGGCACATTTACGTCATTTAGCAGACGCTCTTATCCAGAGCGACTCACCAATTGGTGCGTTCACCCTATAGCCAGTGGGATAATCACTTTACAATTTTTTTTTTGGGGGGGGGGGGGGGGGGTAGAAGGATTACTTTATCCTATCCCAGGTATTCCTTAAAGAGGTGGGGTTTCAAATGTCTCCGGAAGGTGGTGAGTGACTCCGCTGTCCTGGCGTCGTGAGGGAGCTTGTTCCACCATTGGGGTGCCAGAGCAGCGAACAGTTTTGACTGGGCTGAGCGGGAACTATGCTTCCGCAGAGGAAGGGGAGCCAGCAGGCCAGAGGTGGATGAACGCAATGCCCTCGTTTGGGTGTAGGGACTGATCAGAGCCCGAAGGTACAGAGGTGCCGTTCCCCTCACTGCTCCATAGGCAAGCACCATGGTCTTGTAGCGGATGTGAGCTTCAACTGGAAGCCAGTGGAGTGTGCGGAGGAGGGGGGTGACGTGAGAGAACTTGGGAAGGTTGAACACCAGACGGGCTGCGGCATTCTGGATGAGTTGTAGGGGTTTAATGGCACAGGCAGGGAGGCCAGCCAACAGCGAGTTGCAGTAGTCCAGACGGGAGATGACAAGTGCCTGGAATAGGACCTGTGCCGCTTCCTGTGTAAGGCAGGGTCGTACTCTCCGAATGTTGTAGAGCATGAACCTGCAGGAGCGGGTCACCGCCTTGATGTTGGCGGAGAACGACAGGGTGTTGTCCAGGGTCACGCCTAGGCTCTTCGCACTCTGGGAGGAGGACACAGCGGAGTTGTCAACCGTGATGGCGAGATCATGGAACGGGCAGTCCTTCCCCGGGAGGAAGAGCAGCTCCGTCTTGCCAGGGTTCAGCTTGAGGTGGTGATCCGTCATCCATACTGATATGTCTCCCAGACATGCAGAGATGCGATTCGCCACCTGGTTATCAGAAGGGGGAAAGGAGAAGATTAGTTGTGTATCGTCAGCGTAGCAATGATAGGAGAGGCCATGTGAGGATATGACAGAGCCAAGTGACTTGGTGTATAGGGAGAAAAGGAGAGGGCCTAGAACTGAGCCCTGGGGGACACCAGTGGTGAGAGCACGTGGTGTGGAGACAGCTTCTCGCCACGCCACTTGGTAGGAGCGACCGGTCAGGTAGGACGCAATCCAGGAGTGAGCCGCGCCGGAGATGCCCAGCTCGGAGAGGGTGGAGAGGAGGATCTGATGGTTCACAGTATCAAAGGCAGCAGACAGGTCTAGAAGGACAAGAGCAGAGGAGAGAGAGTTAGCTTTAGCAGTGTGGAGAGCCTCCGTGACACAGAGAAGAGCAGTCTCAGTTGAATGACCAGTCCTGAAACCTGACTGGTTTGGATCAAGAACGTCATTCTGAGAGAGATAGCAAGAGAGTTGGCTAAAGACGGCACGCTCAATAGTTTTGGAAAGAAAAGAAAGAAGGGATACTGGTCTGTAGTTGTTGACATCAGTGGGATCGAGTGTTGGTTTTTTGAGAAGGGGAGCAACTCTCGCTCTCTTGAAGACGGAAGGGACATGGCCAGCGGTCAAGGATGAGTTGATCAGCGAGGTGAGGTAGGGGAGAAGGTCACCGTAGATGGTCTGGAGAAGAGAGGAGGGGATGGGGTCAAGCGGGCAGGTTGTTGGGCGGCCTGCAGTCACAAGTCGCAGGATTTTATCTGGAGAGAGAGGGGAGAAAGAAGTCAAAGCATAGGGTAGGGCAGTGTGAGTAGGACCAGCAGTGTCATTAGACTTAACAAACGAGGATCGGATGTCGTCAACCTTCTTTTCAAAGTGGTTGACGAAGTCATCCACAGAGAGAGAGGAGGGGGGGGGCGGGGGGGGGGGGGAGGATTCAGGAGGGAGGAAAATGTGGCAAAGAGCTTCCTAGGGTTAGAGGCAGATACTTGGAATTTAGAGTGGTAGAAAGTGGCCTTGGCAGCAGAAACAGATGAAGAAAATGTAGAGAGGAGGGAGTGAAAAGATGCCAGGTCGGCAGGGAGTTTAGTTTTCTTCCATTTCCGCTCCGCTGCCCGGAGCTCTGTTCTGTGAGCTCGCAATGAGTCATCAAGCCACGGAGCTGGAGGGGAGGACCGAGCCGGCCGGGAGGATAGGGGACACAGAGAGTCAAAGGATGCAGAAAGGGAGGAGAGGAGGGTTGAGGAGGCAGAATCAGGAGATTGGAGGGAGAAGGATTGAGCAGAGGGA